TTATGAGGTCTATAGGGTACCCTAAACCCTAAACCCTAAACCCTAAACCCTAAACCCTAAACCCTAAACCCTAAACCCTAAACCCTAAACCCTATATACCCAAAGCTGTTCGAGATTTAGGGTTTAGGGCTTAGGGTTTAGAATTCGGGGACCCGTGGCTCATCCCAGGCCCTTCACGTTGCCCGCCTCAGCCGGGGCTGCCGAGGACGAGGAGGCACCTACTGGAGGAGACATGTAGGGTTCAGGGTTTAGGGTTTAAGATTAAGGGTTTAGGGTTTAGGGTTTAGGGTTTAAGATTAACGGTTTAGGGTTTAGGATTAAGGGTTTAGGGTTTCGGATTAGGGGTTTAGGGCTCAGGGTGTAGGACTAGGATTAAGGGTTTTGGAGCTTACGCCGTATAAGGGTCTGGGCTTCGGGACGGCTTGAGGCTTCATGAGAGTGTAAGATAACATGTTTTACTACTTTTCTTACTATTGTTATGACGACTATGATTTCTATGATTATCATTATTCTTCTTATTATTTTTACTATTATTGTTATCAGTACAACTGCCGGAACAATATGCCGATTCTGAATATTACTATTTTCCTTTTGAAGGGCAGACTTAGAGGGATTCATGACGGCTTGTGAGCTTCAGATCCGGTCAGGGCCACCCACATCACGCAAAACAGCCAAACGACCTACATTCATGGGGCCTTTTGAATAGCCATAACTGGGCTTAAGTATCCCTAAATACCCTTAGGGGGGGGGGGGGGGGGGCGGTCCCCCATAACAGGTATAAATGTGCAAAACATTGTTCCAACTTCTGGGTCCTTCGGCGACGCCACAACAACCCTTAATAACCCTAAACCCCCCCAACCCTGAACCCTGAGACCCTAAATCCTACGTCCACTGAAGCCTGACACGGTAAACCCCCAACCCCAAATGCTCTGAGCCCTGAACCCTAAGCCCCAAATCTCCAAATCCCCTAAACCCTATACACCCTAAACCCTACACACCCTCAACCCTAAACCCTAAACCTAACCCTAAACCCTAAACCCCAAATACCCTAAACCCTAAACCCCAAATCCCCCAAACCCTAAACCCCAAACCACAAACCCTAAACCCCAAACACCAAACCCTAAACCCTAAACCCTAAACCCTAAACCCTAAACCCTAAACCCTAAACCCTAAACCCTAAACCCTAAACCCTAAACCCCAAACCAAAAAGCACAAACCCTAAACCCCAAACCCGAAAAAATGACCTAAACCCTAAACCCTAAACCCTAAACCCTAAACCCTAAACCCTAAACCCTAAACCCGCCCGCCACCCCTCTCCTTCTGTGGGTAGGCGGGCGCGTCGAGCGCCAGCGAGACCATGGCAGGCTCTGCTGAGCTGCAGAGCCTGAGAAGGCCCTCCGGCAAAAGACACCCCCCAACGCCGATTTGGCTCTCGCAAGCTTCTAGACCTTTTTTTGAGCAAAGGGTCTTTCGCCATGCAACCTTTACGCTCCGGCATATAGAAGAAAAAACAATGAGAAGGCCCTCCGGCCGAAGACACCCCCCAACGCAAACGTGGATTTGGCTCTGGTATGCTCCTGTTCATAGCAACACCATGACACCGACGTCGAGAATAGAAACAATGAGAAGGCCCTCTGGCCGAAGACACCCCCCAACGCAAACGCTGATTTGGCTCTGGTAAGCTTCTAGACATGACTCTCACAAGGCCTATTCATAGCAACACAATGACACCCCGACGTCGAGAATAGAAACAATGAGAAGGCCCTCCGGCCGAAGACACCCCCCAACGCAAACCTGATTTGGCTCTCGCAAGCTTCTAGACGTGACTTTCGCAAGGCGTATTTATGGCAACAAATCTTTCGCCATGCAGCCTTGATACCCCGACATCCAGAATGGAACAATGAGAAAGCCCGCCCAATGCAAAACGAAATTTTTCTCTCTCGAAAGCTCGGCATCTAACATCTTTTCCAAGTGCAGAAGTGTTTGGATGTGGGCTGGCTTGGATTTGGCTGGCTCTTTTTTGGCTCGTTTTGAGTAGTGTTTGGGTGGCCTTGGGGTGGGCATGTCTGTACACAACTGCGTGCAGCTGACCACTGCTACACCCTAAACCCTAAACCCTAAACCCTAAACCCTAATTAAACCCTAAACCCTAAACCCTAAACCCTAAACCCTAAACCCTAAACCCTAAACCCTAAACCCTAAACCCTAAACCCTAAACCCTAAACCCCAGACCAAAGTTCGACCTCAGACAGCCGCCTGAGAGCGAAGGTCGCGGAGCCGTCGAAGAGGCGTAGCCCCCAGAGGAGCTACTCGCCTTAGGGTTTAGGGTTTAGGGGTTTAGGGTTTAGGGTTTAGGGTTTAGGGCTTGGGGTTTAGGGTTTAGGGGTTTAGGGTTTGGGGCTTGGGGCTTGGGGTTTGGGGTTTGGGTTTAGGGTTAGGGTTTAGGGTTTGGGTCCGCCGACCCTGGCGGCGTGTTGGATGGGAAAAGGAGGTGAAAACCTCCCTCTTTCCCTCCTTACCCCCCCAAAACGCGGGGGGTAGGGGGGGCCGGGCAGCTTTTCCATGGAGGGCCAAGCCACCCTTCAAGCTGGCTTCAGCTCTTGTTTGGGTCCCAACGTTTCACAGAGGTTCAAGCACATCAACTTTTTTGGCATCCTTTGAGCTGACGAGCGCGTTTAAACCTTTCAACTATGCTCCAGCGGGGTCGGCGGCTTGAGCCGGAGGCTCTTAAATTTCGGGTTTGGGGTTTAGGGTGTGGGGTTTGGGGCTTAGGGTTTGGGGTTCTCAAGGTTTGGATGTTAGGGTGTAAGACTTCGGGTTTAGGGCTGTCGACTTCGGGTTTAGAGCTTTGGGCTTCGGGATTTGGGATTTTGCGTAGGGCTTTCGGGCTTAGTGATTTGGGTCAGAAGGTTGCTAGAGCTTCACATATACTAGGCGCTTGACCCCCGAAACGCTGGACGCCGCAGAGCCTACGTAACAGTCGCACCATAAGCCCGTACGAAAGCCTACACTGTAAAACCTTCGAAACCCTGAGCCCTAAACCCTAAACCTCAATCTTGATAAGCCTGCAGCCCCTTCTGCAATAACTTAGGCCTGGCGAGCGGTACTTCAGGCTTTCCGGAAGTTTGGCTTCGGCTAGGGTTTAGGGTTTAGGGTTTAGGGTTTAGGATTTAGGATTTAGGGTTTAGGGTTTAGGGTTTAGGGTCCAGGGTCCAGGGTTTAGGGTTTAGGGTTTAGATCCTATAAATGAAGCCCTAGATCTGACATGCTAAACTACTCAGCCCTCAAGACCAAAGAAACCCCAGCCTAAAGTTAAGGACAAGGTAGTTCCCATCTGGGAGGCTCAAAGAGTTAGGGTTTTGTAGGATTAAAGCCCAAAAACCTACACCCTAGAACCCGAAAGCCCTAAACCCTAAAACCCTAAACCCTAAAACCCTAAACCCTAAAACCCTAAACCCTAAACCCTAAACCCTAAACCCTAAACCCTAAACCCAAACACTCAAAAGCCCAAACCCCATTGGGCGTCAGACACTTGCCGTCGTCGCCGGCAGCTGCGCTTCCGGCCTCAGCACGAGGCTGAGGCTCAAGGGCTTTGGGCTTTGGGCTTTGGGGCTTTGGGGCTTTGGGGCTTTGGGGCTTTGGGGCTTAGGGGTTTAGGGGTTTAGGGGTTTAGGGGTTTAGGGGTTTAGGGGTTTAGGGGTTTAGGGGTTTAGGGGTTTAGGGGTTTAGGGGTTACGGTTTAGGGTTTTGGGTTTTCGTGTTGGGATGTTCCCCTCCTTAACAGGGAATATAATAGGGGCCCCCAAAGATCCGGACGTTGACGCCTGAACCCCCCCAACCACCAAACCCCAAAGCCTACACGGCTTGAGCCGGGGTCTTAGGGTTTAGGGTTTAGGGTTTAGGGTTTAGGGTTTAGGGTTTAGGAAACCCTAAACCCGTCGTTTTTCAGCATGGTGCTTGGGGGTTAGGGGATGGTTGTGGGACTTTGGCCTCAAACCCCCAAGACCTCTGCCCTACCCAGTGAGCCCGATACCTCTGAATTAGGAACATACATTAATTTAATGTATATATAGGGATCCTACCTAAACCCTAAACCCTAAACCCTAAACCCTAAACCCTAAACCCTAAACCCTAAACCCTAAACCCTAAACCCTATGGTTTCACGGTAGGTTCCTTAGTTAAGGGGTATCAGGCTCTTTGGGTAGCCCGAAGCATGCCAAGCTCCTCGCCACGACTGGCTCGAGACAACCTCCCAGTGAGAGAGCGCCCACCGGATGGTGCTGATGCGTAGGGTTTAGGGCTAGGGTTTAGGGTTTAGGGTTTAGGGTTTAGGGTTTAGGGTTTAGGGTTTAGGGTTTAGGGTTTAGGGTTTAGGGTTTAGGGTTCAGGGTTCAGGGTTCAGGGTTTAGGGTTTAGGGTTTAGGGTTTAGGGTTTACGGTTGAAGGTTTCGTAGTTTAGAGTTGGGATGCTCCCCTTTCTACTAGCAGTCCTCAATAGGGATTATAGTAGGGGGTACTATACTCCCTACCAAGGACTATTCGTACAAAAGGAACATCCCAAGTGATCCGTTTGGTAGGAGGGCTTCAGCTTTGCGGACTGTCTCGAGTTTGTAGGGTTCAGGGCATCACCACCAAGAACAGGGCACGGATACATACAAGAACAAACAGCACGAACAACAGACAACAACACACGACAAACAAGCAAGCTAACAAACAATCCAGCAAACCAGCAAAACCAACAAGTGAGCCCCAAATAAAGTGATATCCGCCTCCCCTAGGCAAAAACATGGCCGCAGACCTTGTGATAGACTTTTCTGCGCTGGGTCTCCGGGTGCAATCCATACTCGACGCCCTCATCGCGCGACAGTACCGATAGCAGACGCGCAGGATCTCATCATGGATGTGCGGCCGCGGACTGATGCAAGGAAGCCGACTCGAACTCAGGTCATGGCTTGACAAAGTCATTGGAGTCGGACGTCTGCGATGATAGGCCCTGTTCTTCAGCCCTCCTCCCAGGTCTCGATCGTTGAGAAGCATCCGCACTCTCGGCACTCGATCTCGGACCGCGTGGAGTAGTTCCCATTTCTCTGCCTTGGTAGCCAAGTAACTATGTTATAAGAAGGGCACCTTTTTTGGGTTACTTAACTCATTATGTTATAATCAGGGCACCCCTTTTTTGGGCTACACTGGCTACCAAGCTACGTCATGTCGTAGAAGTAGATCAGCCGATTCCGCTTGTCGGGCTCCAGATCGCTGCCACCGAATCCACAGGCCTCGCACTTGAGCCCAGAGGGACGTCCAGACCCGTACCTCAGGGCGACTAGAGGGCTATAGTGGTTATAGCGTTTCAGCATTTGTGTGTATATATGATTCAGCCCCGGCGGGCCCCCCCCCCCTCCCCCCCCCCCCCCCCCCCCCCCCCAATGGTACCCCCCCCCCCCTGTGGTGTGGTTGGGGGTTGGTTTTAGGGTTTTAGGGTTTAGGGTTTAGGGTTTAGGGTTTTAGGGTTTTAGGGTTTTAGGGTTTAGGGTTTAGGGTTTACGGTTTAGGGTTTAGGGTTTAGGGTTTAGGGTTTAGGGTTTTCCCCGCGGATGGGGTACTAAGATGATCCCCCCCCCCCTGTGGTGTGGTTGGGGGTTGGTTTTAGGGTTAGGGTTTAGGGTTCAGGGTTTTAGGGTTTAGGGTTTAAGGTTTAAGACTTAAGGTTTAGGGTTTAGGGTTAGGGTTTAGGTTTTAGGGTTTAGGGTTTAGGGTTTAGGGTTTAGGGTTTAGGGTTTAGGGTTTAGGGACCGTAGAGTAGACTTGGGGGGGGGGGGATACCATGGGGGGGGGGGGCCCAGGACGCTCGACGCTGAACCATATATATATATATATTGTTTTTGATTTATATATATACATATGACATATGTATCTATCTATGTATTTACTAATTTATGATTTTTGCATAAGTCCTAGACTTTCTTGTTGAATGCATTGTTATCTTTTTTTTTCGATTTACAGATGTGTATGTATCCATATCTATGTATCTACAGCTTCATGCCTGAAACCTTTCATGAAAGCAAAAACAGCTCTTGAACAAAGCCACAGGCACCCTTCAGTCAGGTCGCCATCATCCTCGGGGACGAAATGAGCCACAAACATTGGGATTCATCTACCCGATACTACTGTAGTCCCTACTAAGGTTTAGGGTTTAGGGTTTCGGGTCTAGGGTTTAGGGTTTCGAGGGGACCCAAAACCCTAAACCCTCAACGCCCGAGGCTCTGCAATGTTCTTGAAGGCATCTGGCACCAAATACAACTGTACTTATAACCAACTCATGAGCCCTAACATGGTTCTGAGTACAGTGAGAAGTACAGTTATAGCTGGTTGATAAGTACCCTGAACCTCCAAGCAGGGCTTCCTAAACCCAACACCCTAACCCTAAACCCTAAACCCTAAACCCTAAACCCCAAACCCTAAACCCTAAACCCTAAACCCTAAACCCTAAAACCCTACACCCTCAAGCCCAGGGCTCGGTAATGTTCTTGAAGGCGTCGGGCAGCGTCCGGTAGTTCGCCGGCGCATGCACGGGCGCGGAGGACGTGGCAACCTGCCATCCAGGGCTCCCAGTGACCGAACCCCAGGTTTAGGGTTTAGGGTTTAGGGTTTGGGGTTTAGGGTTTAGGGTTTAGGGTTTAGGGTTTAGGATTTAGGGTTGAGTTTACTGACTCCCACAACCCCCATTATTTCAAAAATGCACTACCCTATCCTTGAAGCTACCCTGCAACTACCTTGAGACTTTACCCTGAATATACTACTCTAATCGAATCACAAAAAACTACGCTCAACCCCCTTAGAAGCCCTAAACCCTACAACCTGAGAAGTATCCCAGGCCCTAAGCCCAAAGCCCAAAGCCCTAAACCCTAAACCCCAAAACCCTAAACCCCAAACCCTAAACCCTAAACCTTAAACCCCGTTCACCTTCAGTCCGGGGCCGTGGTTGAACGGCCCCGAGCCACGGCTCGCTGGAGCGCTCTTCGCAGCGCCCGCATCGGCCGCAGCAGCCATGTTGACAACTTAAGGGTTCAGGGTTTCGGGTTTCGGGTTTAGGGTTGAGGGTTAGGGTTTAGGGTTTAGGGCCTAGGGTCTAGAGTTTAGGGTTAAGGGTTAAGTTTAGGGTTAGGGGATTAGGGCCTAGGGAATGACCCCTTGAGACTTACAAGGTTCAGAAGAGTTGAATAAGGACTCAGAATCTTTTTCATCTTGGCTCTGCGGCAGAAAAGTGGGGGGTGGGATTTGAGCGGGGTGGGGGGGCGGGGGGCGTCCCGAAGAGTTTTCACAGTTTCCATCTAATCCCTCTACAACCCCCCCGAGTTCCGTTTAGGGTTTAGGACCTAGAGTTTAGATTTTGATCCCCAGACCATCAACCGAAAAGGCCGATCCCCAGATACCCTACTACCCCAAAGACCCGGGTTCCATCTCCTTACGCAAGCTGTGAGCTCCTATGTCACCTCTACATCCTCTGTAGAAGCTATGCATACGTAAATGTACACCCATTTACAGACCCCAAGCCCGAAAAACTTAGCCTAAATTGACGGAACTTTGTGCCACAACCTTAGCATGCTTGTTTACAAACGCATACTTAAACCCGAAAATCCGTCAACCACGAGCCCTGTGGCCTAAACCCTAAACCCTCAACCCTCAACCCTAAACCCTACACCCTAAACCCTAAGCCTCCCAACCTCAGTGCAAAAGCCGGTTTGGCTGCGGTTTTGGCTGTTTAGGTGTTATGGTTTGTTTCAGTTTCGCGTTCTAGAAACAGGTGAGGGTTTGAAGGTGTTATTTGCGGGCCCCAAACCCTAAACCCTACACCCTAAACCCCAATCAAACCCTAAACCCCGAACCCTAAACGTGAGCTGTAGGGTGCTAGGTCTTGGGGTTTAGGGCTTACGGCTTCAGGTTGAACGGAACTCGAGATTTAGGGTTTCGCATTTAGCCTCAAGGGTGTTCTCTGCTATGTTCTGTCACAGCAAATTGGTCAACACAACTGCACGGTCCTGACCCAAAGCCTCAAACCCCAAGCCCTATACCAAAAGTCCTGGATATACAGCCCTAAGCTCTAAACCCTATGAAACCGTAAGCTTAGGATGTTCCCCCTTATACCAACAGTCCTTAATAGGGATTGTAGTACCCCTAGTATAAGCCCTGTTGAGGACTGTTAGTAGAAGGGGAACATCCCAACCCTAAGCCTCTAAACCCTATTCAACCCGAAGCCCAAACACGAGTCAGCCCGAGACGCATGAAGAAAAGAAACAGAGCTCAGTGCTTAAGAGTTTAGGGTTTAGGGTTTAGAGTTTAGGGTTTAGAGTTTAGAGTTTAGGGTTTGGGGTTTGGTGTTTCGGGTTTAGAGCCCAGGGCTTCAGAGAGTAGGGCTGCTGCTCTCGCCTTTTATCTGTGCAGCAGCTGCCGATGCTCGGCACTGGTACTTGAAAGATTGCAGAACTGAGTCGGAGACTTCAGCACTCTAAGACCCTAAACCCCAAACCCTAAACCCCACACACTAAACCCTGAACCCTAAAACCCTGACACTGACACCCCGTTAGGGTTTAGGGGTGTTGTGGGTTCAGGGTTCAGGGGTCCAAATCTCGGCCCTGAATCCTCAACCCAAAACCTAAAACTCGACAAAATCCGACCAACAAAGTGACGAGGGTTCAGGGTTTAGGGTTTAGGGTTTAGGGTTTAGGGTTTAGGGTTTAGGGTTCAGGGTTTAGGGTTTAGGGTTCAGGGTTTAGGGTTTAGGGTTTAAGGTTTAGGTTTCACGGGAGCCACGCGCCCCCCAAGCCGATAAGCCTTGCACCCTACCGCCTGATACACGAATGGCGGAGCACCTGAACTCTAAACCCCTCAACAGCGCACCAATGCATGGTGGCCCAGGAACCATATGGTTATAAGGGCACCATGCTTTGGGGGTTCTTAAGCAAATGGTAGTAAAGGGCACCTTTTGTTGGGTTGGTTACTTTATAAGTGAACCCAGAACCCAAAAAAGAAGGTAAAGGGTACCACTGGGCTACCAAGACAACTAAACCAAAGGAAGTTACTTGGAGGTTTCCGAAATTTGGGGTACGAATCCTACAATTTAGGGGTCTACATTAGGGTCCCCTATTTTCGTTGACTCCCACTTGGGAGCAAAAGCAGAGACCAGGAGCATGGTAGCTGAACTAGGCATGTATGGTTCCTTGTCACGTAACCGTATTCCACACCCTAGACCTTGTATACCGACCTAAACCCTAAACCCTAAACCCTAAACCCTAAACCCTAAACCCTAAACCCTAAACCCTAAACCCTAAACCTAAAAGAAACAAACAGAAACCCGGCCGCAGGTCTTCTGCGAGCCGCTCCGTCGCTTCTTCCTCGGCAACCGGCATGTGCGCAGGCCGGGCGAGGGTTTAGGGTTTAGGGTTTAGGGTTTAGGGTTTAGGGTTTAGGGTTTAGGGTTTAGGGTTTAGGGTTTAGGGTTTAGGGTTTAGGGTTTCGGGTTTCGGGTTTAGGGTTTAGGGTTTAGGGTTTAGGGTTTAGGGTTAGGGTTTAATGTTTAGGGTTTATGTAGGGTGGCTGGGGGCATTTTCGCCCATGGGTTTGAGGGTCGATGTTTTGAGAGTTTCGATGGTAGAAGTCGGTTTAGGGTTTAGGGATTAGAGTTTAAGGCTCGGGTTTAGGGTTTAGGGTAAGAATGACTCATTCTTCTTACCCTAAACCATTTCCCGAAATTGGGGAAAGCTTGCGTTTCCCCTAGACCCTCAACCCCAAGCTCTAAACCCTACACCCTGAACCTAACCCGAAATCCCCGAAAACCTGAACCCTGAACCATAAACTCTAAACCCTGAACCCTAAATCCTAAACCCTAAACCGTAAACCCTTAACCCTAAGTCCTTTAATCCTAAGCCGCAACCAACACTAAAGGCTGCTGTCAGGCGAGCTTCTTCTAAGACTTCAAAAAGTCTCTCGTGTGGTGCGTCCTCATGTCGCCTTCGAGGAGATTTGGGGCTTTGTAGGGCTTAGGGCTTTAGGGCTTTAGGGGTTTAGGGGTCTAGGGTGTTTATGGCTTTCAGGTTGTACAGTAGGGGGTAGGGGTTTGGGGTTTAGGGTCCAGGGTGATAGGGGTTCAGGGTTGTTGGGTTTCAGCCTTTAGGGGTTAGGGCTTCAGGGTTTAGGGTTGTAGAGTTTGGGGCATTAGGGCTGTAGCGTTTGCTTGGGGCTTTTGGGGATTTCGGGTTTAAGGCTTCGGGGCTTTAGGGGTTTGGCGGGCTTAATTAAGGTGTTGCGCTGTGGGATGTAGGGCCCAGCGTGCGGGATGCGGAGTTGGCTCTGTTGATCACTAGGGTTTAGGGTTTAGGGTTTAGGGTTTAGGGTTTAATTAGGGTTTAGGGTTTAGGGTTTAGGATGTGAATTCGGGGTTCAGGGCTTAGGGATTAGGGTTTTAGGGTCTAGGATTTGCAGTGCAGTCACTGTGCCACTGGCTGAGTGCACGGCGAGCCCCTACACCCTGCACCCTAAACACTGAAACCTAGACCCTCAGCCGTGAAGCCTAAACCCTAAACCCAATAACCCAATAATTAAGCCGTAAGCCCTAAACCCCATGAGCCCTAGACGCCTGTTTGGGATTCTCCTCATCTCCCAAAAGTCCGTATTGCAGGCCTTTCATGCAGCAGAATTAGTGTCTAGAGTCTAGGGCGCTTAGATCTCTTACAAACAAACAAGTGACTACGAAGTTTATTCCAACGGTCTTACATCGCAGTCCCTCACCCTAAACCCTAAACCCTAAACCCTAAACCCTAAACCCTAAACCCTAAACCCTAAACCCTAAACCCTTTTAAAACCCAAGGGCCCATACTTCGGAACCCATTAAAGGAGGCAAGGGACCAGACTAGGGGCCCATGTAACTACCCTTAAGGCTAAAGCTGCAACAACCCTAAACCCTAAACCCTAAACCCTAAACCCTGAACCCAAACCCTAAACCCTAAACCCTAAACCCTAGGAGCCCTGGGCGGCCTTCTCAGTCGAGTTGGCCTCCCCTGGGAGGGCCACAGCATCCTCACCCGGCCTCAAGGCTAGGGTTTAGGGTTTAGGGTTAGGGTTTAGGGTTTAGGGTTTAGGGTTTAGGGTGTAGGGTTTAGGGGTTAGGGTTTAGGGTTTAGGGTTTAGGGTTTAGGGTTTAGGGTTTAGGGTTTAGGGTTTAGGGTGTAGGGTTTAGGGTTTAGGGTTTCATTCCGCTGCCGGTGAATTCGGCAGCGATCGCACACAATTCCAGCTTGGGCCAAGGTGAGATGAGGGTTTAGGGTTTAGGGTTTAGGGATATGAAGTGGGGTGTATATCCGCCAACCCTGGCGGCTTGTTGGATGGCCTCCCTTTTTCCCTGCGCCCAGAAAGGGGGGGGGGGGGAAAAGGGGAGGGGGGGTAGGGGTAAGGGGGGGGAGTGGGTGGGGGGGGGAGCGGGGGTCTCCTGGTAAAGGAACCCGCAACCCGCACCGTGCGGCTTCTCGGACCATGGGACCTGATATAGACCCTGCTATGTCTAGGGTTCAGGGCTTCCATGCGGTCATTCGGCTGACAAATGGGCAGTACCCTAAACAAACCCAAAACCCAAACCCTAACCCCTCCCGCGTGCACGGACCCCCCCCCCTGCAATTCTCCGGAGCGATGTGTTGCAGAATCCAAGGCGCTGCACACCTTCCCAAGCCCACGATCTCCGCGTTGAGGGTTTAGGGGTTTAGGGGTTTCCGGGGGTTTATGGGTTTGAGCCATGCAAGCCTTGAGGGTTTGTGATTTCAAGGCTTTAGGGTCTTGGGGCCTGGGATTTTTGATCAGTTCAGGGTATAGGGTTCAGGGTTCATAGAAGTGGGCTTGCTGGATACTGAAGCTGCAACCTTAAAGCTTTTACCCTCAAAGCTATAGATCTCCAAAGAACTCCAAACAGCAGAAACACCTTGATCAAAAACCAAAGCACACTGAACCGTAACCCCCCCCCCCCAAAAAAAAAAAACAAAAACAAAACAACTTGCACACTCGAC